AAACTTACTCAAATAACGAAGATCACAAAACGTTCGGCATTTTTTTAAAGAGTTGCTCAACTCATCACATTTCATGTGAATGATGATGCTTGAACTAGGAACCACCTCCCAATTACTTCATGATTTATTAAACATTCATTTTTTTTTACTAGTTTTTTTTTTTTTCCTTTATGTGCTTTTTAGGTGCTACTAAGTCTCTTCAAATTTCTTACTAAAAATTTGTCCTCAAGTGAAATAGGGCACTCATGAACCTAAACTTATTGAAATGGCATTATTTTTAAAATTTTGTATTTGAATAGGGCACTTGTACATTTCTAATTCATAAATATTCAATTCTTTGATACTAAATGATTGAATTCTTAAAAAAAAATGTTTTCTAAAAAAAATGGTATGTAAACAAATATGAATGTGATCTAATGCAAATATGAGTATCAAAATATATTTTCCTCCCCAAACTTAAGTCAAACGTTGTCCTCATTGTTTAAAGAAATAAGTAAAGGAGAAAAGAAACTTATTAGATTTTATGTTCTTGAAGATATGAAGTTAAATTCTAAAATTGTGGTGCCTTCAATATTCATGAGATTTGAATTTTCTCCAAACTTGTGCATGAACCTGGAATATAAAGAAAAACAAATTAAAGTAAAATAAATAATAAATAAAACTAAACTAACATAAAAATTAATAATAACGAAGAAAAAGAAAGTTTAACACTTGAGTTGCCTCCCAAAAAGCACCTTAATTTATAGTCATTCGCTCGACTTTCTAATATCATTATCTAGGATTGCTTTGTTCAATGCTAGTCTTGTGTTTGTTGCATTCACCATTCTCTTAGTAAGCTCACATATTTTCATAAATTTCATGTCGATTTGGAGGCTCTTCATTGAAAAATTCATTGCATGAATTTGGTTTTCAAGGATTTTTAAATTTTGGCTCTCTTGAGTTTAGGCTTGGTGGAGATGCTTCTGAATAATGTAACCTTCCCTTAATGGCCTCATCTTTGACCTTGGTTCCCTATTACTGCACAATAAAAATCTCATGTGGAGCTTTAGGTGTTTCCTCGTGCAGAACCTTATCAACTATCTTTTCACTAGTGTCAATTGCAAACACTTCTCAATATCATTAGAAGGATATTTCATAGTTTCAAATACATTAACCGTAACTTGTTCATTTTGTATTCTAAGAATTAATTTTCTTTCTTGAACATCTATTAACGCTCAATTAGTTGTAAGAAAAGGATGACCTAAAATAGAAGGGACCTCATAGTCTTCTTTCATATCCAACACTATAGAATTGACACAAAATATAAATTTACCCACTTTTGCTAGAACATCTTCAACTATATCTCTTAGATACTTGATAGATCTATTTGCTAGTTGAAGGGATACATTAGTTGTTTTCAGCTCTCTAAGTTCTAATTTCCTAAAAGCAAAAAAGGCATCAAATTAATATACTTGCTCCTAAATTGTCACGCCCCAGAACCCAAATCCGAGGCGCGACAGACGTTGTGCACTCGTGAGACGGGTCTCACAAACGCACAAGGCTCGGAACTTATTCAAATCCCAAACTCTATTCTCGCAAAATCTGTTTTAATACCATAAAATTCAAGGTACAATCTATCTTCCAAGAATGATAATGTATTCCATAAATCTATGTCCAACATGACTTAAACTTAAAATCACAAGGTAAAATCTATCTTACAAAAAACATGATTTATTTCTAAAATTATATCAATCTTGAAATGGCTAGCTTTCTAACTCGTCACTTCCCGTGGTTTCCTTGTCTCGGGTCATACTACCTGAAATGGTGGACAAGGGAAAATCATGAGATAAAATATCTCAATAAGTAAATGTATGGGTAGCCCATGGGTAAAATTTGAGCATTTCAGATAAACAGTTTAAACATAAACAGAATGCTCAATGATAACCATTATGCAGAATAAAGTTCAATAGTAGTCAATTAAACTTATAGCATGCCAACAAGTGTAATCAGAAAACGGATACAAGTACGGGAACGAAATAGAC